AACATATGTGTTTCTAAAGAAAGTGTTCCTGCAGATGCTGAATGATTTACGTAGCTTAAGTACTTCGTACTTCTCTAAAAAGATTGAGCTTAAACTGTTTCAATCTCTCCTTACCGTCCTTTGTTTGAGGCTTCTCCAACGTATATCCAGTGGGCAATTCCATTTATAGCATCTCTTCACATGCTTTGATGCAATTCTCAATTCACAACCTATATTATTTACAAATTTATTCTATTTGGTCATGTGCTCTCATTATTACTCAGTTCAGTTATGATGCACGGTGACCAACCTTTTATCGCATCATGTCAGGTTTTTAATAATTGTGTCATTTGTATGTTAACATTGTATAGCAATATCTGCTGGCCACTTCATCCTATTCTCAGCGAAGTAAAATCGTATCAAGTTCTAGGTTCCCTTTTCCCCTGTTGCATATTTGTTTTGGGTTACTCCTTTTGTTTATGGGACCAACCTAGAGCTGCAATATATATAACACCTATTAATATCTGTGGAAGATGTTCCCCTTTACATTTAATATTCTTGGTTTCAGGACTATGGTATTGATTTTGGTGATGGCAAAGATCCTGTTAAAGCATTTCAGTGTCTATGTGGAAGCAGATATTGCCGCGGTATCAGGCATCCGAGTATGTTCTCCTTGCTTGGTTTAAAACCATTTACTTTAAAAATTGCATGCCGGATTGTTCTGCATCTAAATTTTGCATATTGATTGAGGAAGTGATTGTTTAGGTACTTATGCTCTTTTGCAGGGAAACGAGGGAAAGCTGCTGCGAAATGATCAAAGGACTTGGTAGAAGATACGGGGTTGATGCACGCGTGCATCACGGAACGAACTAAACTAATATCGTAGTAGATTAGCTACAATCTGTGCTTTATTTTAGAACTTGTCTACTTGTCAGTTAGACTGTTCGAGAAACCTTTTGGTTTGTGAATGGCGCTGAAGACCCAAAGTCCTACCTTTTGTAGTTCTTGGAATCTGTCGCTTGTCAAAACAGTAATTCCTTTTTCCGCACCTCCTTCCGCTCCGAAGCCATACACCTAGGGTCCCATGGGTTCTTTCATAACCTACCACATCCTTAAATATTTTTAGCATGAAAAACTACTAAATTTCAGCACAACCCTTTTTGATAGGTCAAAATGTTGGGCCCGTTACCACTTCTTGATGCTCGCCGGCTTGCCGTTGGTGCTAGGCAGTGCAGCTGTTGAGCTTCACGATGTGACTTTTACGCTGATTTGGGCTGAGTTCGCTGGAGCTGTTGTGGCTAGGGATGGCAATGTCCCCCGCGGGGCCGGGTCCCCTGGGCGGGTGGGATTTTTCACCCGCGGGTGCGCCGGGGTCGGGGCCCCGCATTTGGCCGGGGAAGGGACGGGGGAACATTTCACCCGCGGGTGACCCGCGGGGCCCCGGGGAGGATATATAAACCCTCAAAATATAGCCCATTGAAAGCCAAAAAAAAAGCCCAACCCATCCAAATAATGTACTAAACCCTAGCTCTCATCTTTTCCTCCCCATTTCCCCTTCCCTTCCGTTACACCACGTGAGAACAGTGGTGGTGCATCTCGTCATTTCCCCTACCCTCGACGTCGCTGGCCACATCTCGGCGTTGCCAGCCACCATCTCCCCTTCCCTCCTCTCCAGTCTCCCCTCTGGCGTCCAGCCTCACGTCTCCCGTCCCCTCCACGGCTCCAGCTCAGGGCCACGGCGGTGCACAGGGCGCCGCGGCGGCGGCGGTGCACAGGGCGCGGCGAGGCGATAGGCGCGGCCGGCGAGGTTGCAGCGCACAGGCGCGGCGGCGGCCGGCAATTCACGTCTCCAATACTCCCAAATACTCCAGGCGATTCACAGGCGAGGTATTGCTCCATCTCCAATACTTCCAAGTCTTCAACTGTGCCTTGTGAATGAAACTGTGCCCAAATGCATGTGTTATTGAGTTGGTCTCTTAGGAGATAATCCATGTGATGCACTAAGTTGATAATTGTCTTGGATTTTCTATGCTGATTGGATAGAGATACTACTCGCTGCGGGTCCCTGCAGGGGTCGGGGGCGGGTGGGATTTTTCACCCGGATCCATGGTCGGGGCCGGGGCCGGGTAGTAAAGTCGGGGGTCGGGGGCGGGGCCGTTCCAGCCCAACCCGGCTCCGACCTGCCCTGTTGCCATCCCTAGTTGTGGCTCGGAAAACGGAGCTGATCGTTAGGCAGGAATAAGAGTAAATTGCATGGGTGACATACAAATTTGTTAGGTGGTTTAATTTAATACATAAACTTATAAAATACTCGTTTGGATGCACAAACTTGTCTAATTCGTATAAACTAGGATCGCAATGACTTGACAAGGTTAATCTTACAAAGCTAATGTTGATTAGAATGTGACGTGCATACGTAAAGTGAGTACGCATAAGATGTGCTATATTTATAAATGAGGAATTTCATATATTTCTTACCCTTTCTAAGCATTTTTAGCTATAAATTTGGACACAGGTAGTATATCTTTACAAAAGTTGTACTTAGCCAATATAAGATTATTTAAAAACTATGTCATTATCACAACAGTTGAGACGATAAAAGCTCTAACCATTAACTAAAAGAATATTTATTTTATTAACTTTTTTTTCTATTTTTCACCCTCATGTAACCATGTTTCCATATAGAGTTTAAGAGTCGTTGTTAGGCCATTGTTACCGTAGCAATAACATTTTATCTCTCATATTTCTCTTTTCCATGTCAACAAATATTCATAATTAGCAACGCTAAGAAAGAACAATTGTACATGACCTTAACTTGTTGCCTTTTAATTTGCAGTAACTCGTGCAGTTTGAGTGGAACTGACTTAATTGTACACCTTGCAACGATCGCCTCGCCTGTAACAATTTTTCATATACTCTTTCATGTCTCTCATCTACATACAGACATACAGTGCAGTGTATCAAAACAGAACAAAAAAAACAACTTCCATCCGACAGAGTGTATATATCATTCCTTTCCTTTCCATTCCAGTTATATCTCTACATATATATCTGTTTCGTGCGTGTGGTTACAATTACATCATCTATCTGTACAGCCAGCAACGCTGTCGATCTCTTCTTCCGCTCTTTTGTTGGTTGGTGTTGCCCAAGTAACAAGTGAAGACGGACGGGCAACACAAAAAATGAACAATTCAATGCATGCCAACAATATATATATAGTAGCCAACCAAAAATCTCTGTCCATCATCAGGAATTCAGGGATGGACCAGAGGCAGCTCAGCTCCCTTGCATAACTAGATCAATCAGCGATCCGTCCGTAACGCCTGCGTGCCTCTTGCCTGGTTGTCCATGCGCGCCCTTCGTACCGCCTGCTGGATTTGACGCTCGTGTTCTTTGAGAATCTCCTCCATGTTACCTCCGTGAGGCATCAACGGCCCAGAGTAGTGGATCCTGTTCTTCTTACTGCCATTCACCTGATGATACGCCATACATGCCTCCACGTTCGCTCTCATGACCTAGAAATTCTCATATTAATCGGAGAAAAAGAAAAAGCAAAATTCATACAGAAATACAATTTAGAAATAGCTGAAATTCGGAATTAAAAAATAAGGAATATTAGAATATGAGACTAGAGTCCATATGAAAATATAATTTAGAAATAGTTGAAATTCGGAATTAAAAAATAAGAAATATTAGAAGAGGAGACTAGAGTCCATATAGAAATACAATTACGAAATAACTGAAATTCGGAATTAAAAATAAGGAATATTAAAAGACTAAAAGTAGAGTATAGAGTCTATATAGAAATACAATTAGGAAATAACTGAAATTCGGAATTAAAAATAAGGAATATTAAAAGACTAAAAGTAGAGTATAGACTCCATATAGAAATACAATTAGGAAATAACTGAAATTCGGAATTAAAAATAAGGAATATTAGAAGTAGAGTATAGAGTCCATATAGAAATACAATTAGGAAATAACTGAAATTCGGAATTAAAAATAAGAAATATTAGAAGTAGAGTATAGAGTCCATATAGAAATACATTTAAGAAAAAAAATGAAATTCGGAATTAAAAAAATAAGGAATATTATAAGTAGAGTATAGAGTCCATATAGGAATTTAAAACTAACTAAAATTTGGAATAAACATAATAAAATTAAAATTAGAGTTTAGAGTCCGTATAAAAAGACAATTTACAAATAACTAAAATTCGAAATTAAGAAAAACATGGGAAGTAAAAAGACAATTTACAAATAACTAAAATTCGAAATTAAGAAAAACATGGGAAGTAGAATTTAAAGTCAATACAGGAATACAATTTAGAAGTAACTAAAATTCGAAATTAAAAATTAAATAATATTGAAAGATAAGTTTAGAGTCCACATAGAAATACAATTAGAAATAATAAAAATTCAGAAATAAAAATAAATAATATTGGAAAAAAAGCATAGAGTCTATATAAAAATACAATTTACAGAAAATTCAGAATTTTTTTTAAAAAAATATTAAAAGACGAGTCTAGAGTCCATATAGGAATACATATAATTTACAAATAACTAAAATTTGATATTGAAAATAATTAATAACTAACACGTATATAAAATACAATATGAATATTACACATTAGTAGTTTTGTAAAGTTATTGCAAAATTTAAAATTATGTTGTCATTTTAATATATTTGAATAATATAATGAGAAAACATATATTCTATTATATGAGAGAAAATATAATGATGCTAGCCGCACAATCTGCGCGGGCCCCACGCTAGTTTTTATTAATGTATAGAGGCGGGTAATTACCCAATGAATGGTGAAATGCGGTCTTAATTTTCTCCTGTCCTTTTTTCGCACAAATGAAAAAGAAAGTTTATATAGTATATAGCTGACTCACCACAGTATGCTCCTTGTTAGCCGCCCCACCTTCCTTCCGATGGGAAGATGACGGTCTTTCTTGAAACTGGTGTGTCCATTCAGATCTACCGGAGGAATCAACAGCAGTTAATTGCCTGTACCTTGACCTAGATGGATGCTCTCTCAAATGTGGCCTCTTGGCACCATCCCCATGGTTAGATGACCGAGTAGCACCGCCTCGTGGCTCAGCAGCACAAGACAAGTTCGGCATCTGAGATGTGTAAAATCTTTGGGTCTTTTCATCAGTCTCATTCGATCGGCCCAGAGTAGACGATGAACGGCCAGCATGCAACAGAGGAACACGCTGAGCAATGCCATTTTCGCCGACTCTTGCTGGAGGATCAATTCTAAAGCCACGAATGCCGTCATCCATCCGAGTGCCTTTTCTATTTGCCTGTGCCCGTCGTTGCTGCACAACAGAAGCAAAAACTTGAGACTAACAACCTACAACAGAGAACGTGCAAAATAGATTGTTGCAACACCAGTTAGGCACTATACATCTAACATAATTTTTATTTTTTAGATGCCATTTTAGCAAGATTGTTTTGCTTTGCTGATTCTTGCTTTGGTTGGGGCAAACGTATGTCAAAAAAACTATGGCACACTAGCTCCTTGTTCTATGTTCATGGAGCTAAATCACCAACTTGGGCTAGATGTAGTTATGCACATAAATGAGGGGTTTACATATCATCAAACTCAGACTCAGCCGTTCAAATAGTGGATATGGCATATGCAATAACTTATGTGGATGAGAAGTTACATAATAAAACTGAAAAATACACCTGCTAGTTGCTACATCAATTTCTACAGAAGTTGCACTCTTGAATGAGAAAGCAATCATCCTCACGTTTATGGTGCCCAAACAAGCCCAGGCAAATGAGGTACATGGCATCCTAGAATACTGTGTTTCTGTGTTTCTTCACAAGGATACATAAAACAGTATCTTGCAAATGCAAACATAGGTCGTGGGTTCAATAGTATCAGAAGTATAGTGCTTTAGGAGCCTAGTTATCATAACCGGACCAACCAGAAAAACCAAAAGCCGGACTACCAGAGCCAGTCTGGTTTAACTTAAAGACCGGACATGCATGTGAACCACAAAAGTCCGGTTAGACAGGAAGGTTTCACAAAGAACCAGAGAAAACCATAGGTGGTTGGACCAGGTAAGGACTTTCGCTGGGAAAAGGAGAGGTGGGGAGTCAAACCCACCACCTCCCCCTATGCAGGCACTGCAGCTAAGGCCTGTTGGGTGACTTTGAAAGCAAGATATATTTAGTTAAGCCTTTTGAGTGAAGCAAGGCATACAAAACACAAAATTTATTATTTATTTTGAACCAGTGGTCAAACCGGCAGACAGACTCACCAGTTTGATCGCCGGTCCAGCTTTAAAAGTTATGCTTAGGAGTCAGGATTATAGATCTTACATATACTTCGCTAGGTTTATCATCAGCTTTGGATAAAACATCCAGATGTACATGTAATGAAATATCATGGTACCTGTAAATCTCCATTTCCAGACTGAGGTTGTTTCCTTCGTCTAGTTTCATTATTTTGTCCTTTCAATGCAATCATCCTTTTCCTGTCAGCAAGTCTTAGATTTAATCATGAAAGTTGATGCAGGAAAATGAGCATCGTACAATCATCTTTACAGATGCTAGAAAAACAAATCCCTGTTAATGAAAATCTTGCAGCGCAGATTACCTCCTGATTTCCTCATCTCGCAGCTTAGCATCATATTCCTTGCTCGGGGGATATTTTGGTAGACTTGATGGATCACAGGCATGTGGCTTTGTAGTGAAGAACTGATGATATGAGTAAAAATAAATGATCTGTCAAATCAGAAGACATGATTTGGAAGAAAATTTATGTATATGTTCGTTGAATTGATGGATTACAAGCATATGGTATCTTGGCTTTGTAGTGAAGCACTGATGACATGAAGACAAATAAGTGAGCTGAACCATATAATTTGATTAGTATATATTTTTTTTAAAAGAATGCATCAGAGCAAGAACTGATGTGTGGTTCCAGGCAGGAAATGTTGGCCGCAACGGCCAGTGACCATACAAATCACCAACATCTGTTTGGCATTGCTCCCAGCCTCCAAGCTGGTAATTTAGCTTTGTAGGGCTTCCACAAGGCAGTAGGGCTTCAGCTTACTGGACAAACTAAACACAAGAGGCCTATCAAGCGCTGACTTCAAAATCTATACTCCTTTAAAAGAGAGTAATGGTGGTGGTGAGTGGTGAATCTACTGCCACCACCAAACTCCCCAAATTTTGATATGTGGGACCACTATCTATCCCCTCCAAATAGTTGTATAGGGCCAGAAGTACAAGTCAATCGAGTCCGCTTGAAACTTTTTACAGCTAAAATACAAAAATATGATAAATCTCTAAATAATTCTAAAATTAAGCTCTGAAATTCAAAATAGATGTGTCTTCTTTGCAATGTTCCAACGTGGTATTTTTAATTCCGTAACATATGGCCATTTTGCTAGTTTAGACAAAATATACCTTTAGTAGTTGTGTAACATACCCAAGCCTGTAAACCTGAGAACTAAATTTAATTTAAATGCATCATGTGGTTGTGGAGTGATTTTAATTGTTTTTGGATCTTAATCATCTCATCATATGCATCTTGATAGGCCTAGAGTCACAAAAACAATTAATCTGGTAATTATATGCATCCAAAACTTCCACAAAAATTCTCAAAAAAAAAACCTTGATATGTCAGAAATCAACCCACAAATTTTCAGAGTTTTTCAGTAAGGTTTGCTAACTTGTTGATCTCCTTTAATCTCTCCAAAATCCTGAAAAGAACTGCTTAGCAGATTCAAACTTGCTCTCTCTGTAAAATTTATTTCAAAACCTCTTTTTGAAGTTTGGTTTCAGCCAAAGTCTTCTACTAACTTTCTTCTAACACCCTGAGGAGTGGCACACCCTGGATCACTCTCTAACCCTTTCTTCTCTCCCTCCAAAAATCCAATCAGCTGCTAACTGCACTGTCAACTGCTGCTAACCAACACTGTCAATACATGTTCATCACTCCATCAAACCTAAACCAGAGACTTCTAACCCAATCCACTTCAGCACATTTACTCTCCACATCACCCCTGACCAAGAGGATATCTAGCCCAGATTTCTTGCTGCACAAAATCCACCTTGAATCCCCTCCAAAGATCCTTGGCAGGCAACCCTCTTTGACTTAGCCTCCAAGGCTATTTTCGAATTTCTTTCACTGACAGTGGGCCCAAAACCCTTGGGACCCACATGACAGCTTCCAATTTTCCCCTAACAGCATCCACCGTCCCCCATGCCCAATGGATGCCCAAGGAACACAATGAAAGCACCAGCCACCTCTCTCTCTAACTCCCCCACTCCACTCTTCCTTATATCCCAAGCCAAAGCACCAGAAGCAACAACACACTCCCCACATCGCGTTCCAAGTACAAGAAAACACACCCCACGCACAGAATGCCCAGAGCTCGGCCGTCTTACCCGGCTCCGGCGACTTAGCCGTTGTCGCCGTGCATCCCCGGTGAGTCCCTCTCTCTTCCCTCCTATGGAACGTGACCTACGCATTACACCGAGCTCACCCGTACCCCTTTTGCCCTAGGACCAATCTGTCGAGCACGTGGTGGGCGTCACCGTCCTCGCCGCCGGCAACCCGAACTGCCGACGCCGCTCCGGCCGCCGTTCCTCACCACCGAAGCAACACCAAGCTCCGGTGAGTTTCCGCCGGATTCCTCGTGCATGCACCCTCTGTGGCTCATCTCTAACACTCCCGTACTCTCGAAGTTGCAGTTCGCGCCTTGAGTCGACCCGGCGACGTTGACGCCGGAGTTTTGCCGTCGTTGGCCAACAACCACCACCTCCGCCGCTCCCTGGACCTCGCTGCCTCCGTTTCTCTGCTTGGTGAGCACCCTGGATACCATATGAGAGCACATGCACTAACCCTTTGCACTAACCAAGCCTCTGCATGCACATGCATGGGCATACCGAGACACACCGCCATTGTAGCTCATGTTCCATGGGCTACAGACCACCATTTCCCTCACCACCACCACTCACGGATGCGCAAGAACGTCCTCTACATTTTCTATTTTGTGCTCGAACCGATTCGATCCACCGATCGCCGCCGGTGAGCCGTAGACCGAGCTCAGCCATGGCTGCTCCCGATGTGAGCTAGCTGGGGACTTCATTTCTTGAATTTGATCGACACTAGGGTCCAATCTGAAAAATGCCATGACTCATATTACTATAGCAGAACCTTGATGGAAATAAACAAAAGAATAGGGACTCTTAATAAATTTTGCTGTCCAAGTGGCAGAAGAAGTGCGGGTTGATTCCCCCAACTTACGAGGGCCTCTCTGCAAATCTCCTTTCACTGACCTGTGGACCCGGCTGGAATTCAATTTCGAAAATTGATTTCTATTTTGGTTTAAAACAGAGAATGAGCAGAACTTCTAAAATTTGTAGAAAATTCATTTTAACTTCAAAAATTGTGAAACCAGTTTTATTAGATCCATAAAGCTGTGATATATTTTAAAAAATATAAAACTGGGTACTTTCTGTACAAACTTTTCCTTTATTTTTGTTTTGCCATAATGTTGCCTAGAACTTGTTAAATCCATAACAAATTGAATATAGCTATAAAAATTGTGAAACCACTTCTGTTAACTTTATAAAATCATGCTCTGTAACATTGTGAAAGTAATTTCTTCACTTCTGTACAAAAATGTTGCTTAATAAAACTTAGCCCTTTTTAAACCTTTTTAATTGTAAAATGCATATCTCTGTGAATAAAAAGTGACAAAATAAAAATTCCTTCACCAGAGACCACCTAAGACCAGCACACACTCACTGCATAAGTTTCATGCATTTTGGTTTTTATGCATTTTTGTATTTATCGTATACGTGTATTTTGTATAGAGGAAGAGTACGTCGAAGAAGAAGAGGGTGAGTTTGTTGACGACCAGGTTCAGGAGTTTGCAGATGAAGGCAAGTTTGCCCCTCCTTTGATCACATTGATTCTAAGTTTTATTGGGCTAAATGATTCTATTACAAACATGCATTCTACCTATCAAGTTGTAGTATGTCAAAACTGTCCTTTTGAACTTTAGGGCTGCATGACTAGCAGTATGTCAAGTTGGCAACCTATAATGCTAATAAAGGGTTTGACATTGTGACGAAAAGAAATGTATGTATGGTTCCATTTATGCTAACGATGTACTCCTTCATCAGGCAGCAGAAACATCGGTTAATGATAAGTATAGTTATAAGGGGATTAGGGAAACAACCTTTTCAGATGATAGAGTCTCCATCAGCTTTGACGCTCGCTCTTGTTCTGAAAAAGAGGGGATATCAATGTTTAAGAGAAACAAAAGCATAGGGGGTAATATAATAGTACTAGAGAGTGAATAATAATGGAGCGAGTAGGACCTCTGGATGTATAGTCCTGCGTAGTCCTAAAAGCGGCATAGAGTGATAGTGAGAAATTGGCAATGACATCATTCAGTGCGGAG